TCCAGTGCCCTTGCCCCAGAGCTGAGCCTTCCTGCCCTGGATCTCCTTAAAGCAATTCCCCTTGGCAGTGTGTGTGCACAGCCCAGCACACACTCCAAAGGCTCCTTCAGGGAACCCTGGCTTTACTGAAGTCAAGGCACAACAGAGCAGCGCCAGGATTTCACTCCACTGCCTTCAGGTTTCACACATTTTCAGCAGTTGTGTCTCTAAATCACTTTTTCCCTGCACACCTGAAACAGAAAGCAGGGCTTGGATTATTGCCCCCCACAGAGCTGACTGTCCCAGAGCATGAACACCACCACAGAGCTCGAACCGCGCTGCACGAACGCGGAGCCTTCTCTGAGATCCACACAGGAAAATACACCTCGGGATAGCTTTTCAAGTTACAGACAATGCAAGTCCCTCTCTCTCCACCTTTACCTGATGTAAGCATCACTCTTTACTGCTCTCCATGTGCCTGCCTCACTCAACACAGAAACAGAGAACATTACAGACTTTTTTTTTTGCTCAGGCCAAACTCAGCAATGGACAGATATAAAACACTACCTGAAGTGCTGTAGGAAACCACAGGGGACTGCACACGGAAATTCACGTGCAGCACTTGGAGGGAGTTTCCTTTCGTTTAGGGGTAGGCAGCACAGAAATGACAATGTTGCTTCTTGCACTCTTGCAAGTCTCAGGCAAAAAGGAAAAGAAGTAAAGGGATCATTAAAATGTCATTCTTGACGGATAGGTGCAAGAAGGAATGACAGGAGAGGAAGTAATCAAGAACACCAACGTCTTGCTTTCAAAGCCTCCCGCACTGGATCATCAAAATAATCAGTGTGGTGGTTTTGGTGCAGCTCTGCCACCAGAGAACTAAACATGGGAAAGCAGCACGCTGTGTTTTATGCACAACTTGAGAAATGCTGACAGCAGTGACAAGGGTGGGGGAGAGCAGGTACCAAGAGAACAGGCAGCAGCCCCCAGCAGAGCTGAGGACAAGGGCAGAAGGACACCACTAGTTTGGTTTGAAGGGAGCAGCCAGCCCAGGGCAGAGGCTTTGGAGTGGACCTGGAGAGAAGTGTTACAAGGCAGAAGAACATGTCCAGCTGTGCAGGGAAACTGCCCTTTGCTTTGTAGGTTTTAATGTGGACAAACTCCCTGCGGCACATGGGGATTTATGGAAACTAAATATGAAGCCCAAGTCCCACTGACTGTCATTTTGTCTCATGTCCCCACAGAACAAAGACTTCATCTTTTACCTCCCTTCTCTCTCTCTGCAGGAATCCAGGCTGACCTAATAGGAAGATTCACCTGAGAAAGGTACAAAACAGCCTGGGGAAAAGCCTTCATTTCACCAGCAGGTTCATTCACAGAGATCACAACACAGCACATAAGGGGGCCATTGTTTCTGGAATAAAATCTCCATTTGAGCTCTCTTCTTTGGCCATGATCAATGGGAGGGAATTAAAGTCTCATCCTGGGAAAAAAACCATCTTGCTAACACTGTGTTGAAAGATCAGGTAATGGAGATGCAGAGCAAATGTGGGCACCCACAGCAACCCTTGGTGAGCTTGAGAATGCCGGAGGTAAAAGGACCTGGTGAAAAAAGCTCCCCAAACACAGGCACAGCTCTTATCGTATCCCATGAGAGACAAGCAAGCCAAGGGCTATGATTCCTAACAGGAGATGTTGGTGTTTCACAGTATTTGGATCCAGGTTTCAGCTCCCCACAGCTCCTCCCAGTGCAGAGGCATTTAAATCCCCTGGGTGCTTACACAGCTGCCTGTTCAGCCCCTGCATTTTCTGTCCCATGGACACACAGAGCCAACCCCAGTAACTTTGAGCTGTTCTGCACCTCTGTCCTACCTACCCCTGGGTATTCTCAGAACACTCACCTCTCACCTGTCCTCCAGGCACCTTCCCACCTCCAACAGGCACGTCAGTGGGAACCCACTGCTCTCACCGCTCAGTGATTATGAGCAACGGCATTTTCCACCACCTGCCAAAGGATGGACTTCCACCCTCCAAAGATCATCAGACAGAGAACCAACACTATTTCCATCACAGCCATAGCACCATAATGGCCACCTTCCTCTTCCTCTCTGTTTTAGTCTGATGCTTTGAAACAAGAAGAAGAAAGAACTGTTTAAACTAGTAGTTACAGGTTCAAAAAGCAATGTTGCAGTGTCTGCTGTTTGGGCAGCTAAGTCTGGAGCATCCCTGTCAGCCTCTGGGCAGACACACATCACACTTGCCTTCATCCTGTCCCAGGCCCACATCTCACTTTGATTTTACAAGTACAAGCAGACAGGAGATTCAAAGCGATTTGCTGCCCTCTCCCGAGCAAGCCCCGGTGACGAGGCAGCACGGCAGAGGCTCTGCAGACAGACTGTCCTCTGGTGAGCACAGCTGTTCCCCTGCAAAAGGAATGGCATTGCTGGGGCACCACACAGCTGTGCCAGGGCAGATTGGAAATGATCATCAGCTGTTACAGACAGGAAAGGAGATCAGCTACACAGCCTGAACCATCAGGTATCCACAGAGGGCGTTCCTGGCATTTTGGTTTCATAACTCTCAGGTTAATCCTCCTCTGTGGAAATACAAAGAAATACCTCCCAGCATATTCTGTCCTCCATAGTCACAAACATTTCAGAGCAGAAGCAGACCACGAGACATATAAAGAAACAGAAAAAAAATTACTTGTAGATTTGAGTGATTTAAGGTGGGTTTTTTGGACTAAACCCACTTAAATCTTTTATGTCCACCAGCAGTGCTCTATCCTGTCCTTCCAGGGAGTACAGAGCTTTATCTAGACATTCAGTATGTACACACATACCATCTTCAGAACAAACCTTAACACTGCAACCTGCTGCTTTCAAGGCACTTCTCCAAGACAACTAATCATTTGCAGAAATCTGTTAAATTAGACTGTGGTCTCTGTTAAAGCCCTCCAAAACCAGGCCTATGAGCCTGAGCCTCTGTTTTTATATGGAAATATACAAAAAACAATGTAAAAGTCACTTCTAAAAATTCCTAAAATAGTTCTCTCATGTACCCCAGGACAGACAAGATGTCCCATGCTGTGGAATCAACACTGCTTTTCTTGGCACTCTCTCTGGGATGCTCTGCAGTGGATGATAACAAGTCGTTCTCTACATGTACAAATGTGATTATTTTCACCACACTCACAAGGGTGCAGAACCTGTGAAAGTGTATATAAAACAACAGGGGTGGGTTCCCAGGGTGGGACCCAGGCAATCTGTAAGCAAGCACCTGCAGCAATCTTGAAGCAAAACAGAACCACTGTCACCACACGGTACAGGGACTGACAAACAGGTTCTCAGTTGGATTATGGGCTAAAATTCTCTAAGCTCCAATATCAGCTTGCTCTGCTTTCAAGCCTTCTTTTACTCTGCAAAACATACAGAAGTCACCATGAAACAAGGTATTTGAGAGAAGAAAGAATCAGTGTGCCTTTCCCAATGTCACCTACCAACCATTTGGTCCTTCACTTAGGAAGTGCTGACCTGCTTTTTAGACACCTCACGTTTGGAGCTCTGCATCATGAAGGCTGCAAACACTTTGGTCTGGTCTCTCAGGGTTTTTGAACCTGATAACTCTGAGAGAAAGGAGCTGTTTGGAAGCATCTGAACCCTTGGCAATGCAGCAGCCTGTCCAGCAGGCATGGCAGCCCAATCCTGCACACCCAGGGGTTGGATTGGCCTCGATACTGAAAAGTTATTTCCAAAGCCAGCTTAATAGCTTGCATTTATCTTTGTCATATTTCACTTCTACTTCCCCTTTGAAGCCTCTGTGCAGCCTTGGACAGTCCCTCCCTTCAGAAAGAAAACCGGTTCTCCCTTTAGAGGCATCCCAGCAGATCCTCCACTGGCCAGCAGAGCAGGAAAGCATCTGTGACATGCAGCTTCCTGAGCCAGGAGAAGCCAAGCCATGCAGGCTCTAGATTTATGGATTAGACATGCTGCCATGGCACACAAATCACTCTGTGCTCAGTGCAATTCATTAGCACGTTGCTATGGCTGGTCGCATTCCCCACATTTTGGCAAACGATGCCAAAAAGGCTTTTTACCTTTCACGTGCCAAGACTGAACAACGCAGAGTCAGGACCCCTTCCTGCCTCCTCCCCGGGGAAGTGAAACCAAAGTCAGCAGTTGTTCTGTCTGTGGGCAAACTGAGCCCTGAGGGTTTTCCAGCACCCCACGGCAGTGCTGACAGGCTGAGCAGCCACAGGGCTGGGATTGTGCCTGCTCCCAGTCCAGCCTGTCCTGGCAAATGAACCTGTGCTGCTGGCACTGTCAGTACTGCCCACGGCCACCAACAACACCCTCCAACCCGGGGACATTCAGCTGAAAATCCGCAGGCAAGCCCAGGGAATCATTCTGCCACACCAGCAAAGCACCGGGAAAGAAAAGGCCTGTTACCTGCCTACCATGTATCAGTAAAGAACTTCAACAACAGGCATAAACCACTAACATAACGGTATAATTGACCTAAAGGAATAAGAAGGAAGGGGTGAAAGGAAGATGGGGTTTTTGCTACTTCCTTACACTGCTGCATCTCGATTCTGGGAAAAGGACAACGGGGGAGGAACAAGCCAGAAAACTGGCTTTCCATTCCTATGGAAAGGTTGTTCCTCGGGGAGGGAAAAATAATTAAAAAAAAAAACCAACAGTACTTAAAAATCAGGGATTTGAGAGTGCTGGGGGCCTCATGGAGCAGCAGTGTGGACCTCTCCACAGAGCAGGCTCTTGGTGGAGCCGTGTCCCCCCTCAGAGATCATGGTCCTGGGGACACCGTGGGGGATACGGATACGTTGTCTAAGGTCCAGCAAGGTGCAAACCTCAGAAGAAAACACAAATCTGAGCTGGACCCCATTTTCTTGAGTGCCAGTGCTACACTCAGGCCAACACCGCAGGGGTCAGTGCTGGAGGGACACGGGCAAAGCAAGGAAACGGCAGAAAGAGACCCCCGGGGCGGAGCCCCGTGTCACTCACCTCAGCCAGGCTGGCCCGGCGCTCACAGCGCGGGGAAGGTCCTCCTCAGCCCCCGACACCGCCGCCGGGGAGGGGCCGCACCCTCACGAGGGCTCCGTCCGTCCGTCTGTCCGTCCGTCTGTCCGTGAGGGGCCGCACCCTCACAGGGGCTCCGCCCGCCCGAGCTCTGCGGCCTTTCGCTGCAGCACCTGGGGCGGGTGGGCTCGCGCGGCCCCTGAGCCCAGCTGGAGCCTGAGGCACAGACACCACAGGGCTCCCTTTGACCTCAGAGAGCCCCGGAGCGGCCCCTCTCGGCCCCTCACGGCCCCTCTCGGCCCCTCTCGGCCCCTCACGGTCCCTCACGGTCCCTCACGGTCCCTCACGGCTCTCGCGCCCCTCACGCCCTCGTGCCGCAGGCGCGGCCGGGCAGGGCCGCGCGGGCCCTTCCGGAGCGCGAGGCGGCTGCGGCTGCTCCGGCGCTGCGCCGTGTCCAGTCACTGTCCCGCGTCCCGTCACTGTCCCCGTGTCCAGTCACTGTCCCGCGTCCCGTCACTGTCCCCGTGTCCAGTCACTGTCCCGCGTCCCATCACTGTCCCCGTGTCCAGTCACTGTCCCGCGTCCCATCACTGTCCCCGCATCCCATCACTGCCCCGTGTCCCGTCACTGCCCCGTGTCCCATCACTGTCCCCAGCCGCGGTGCCCCCGGCCAAGGAGCTCTTTGTGTGTGACCTGGGGCTCCTGGAAGGGACAGGAACCCCCGCGACTGGGGCTGGAGACCGAGGGAATGGGGCATTCACCTGCTGGTCACCCCACAGCCGTGCTGGCCCCACCAAACGCCCTCTCCTTTCCAGCCACATCATTAAGCCATAAGCAGCCACTCAGAAGCCCTCGGAAAAACTCCCCATTTCCCTGGGCCGTGGTGGAACAGCAGCTGCCAAAGCTTAACCCGACAAAGCACTCGGCAACAGCTCCACGTGCCCCGGGGTTTGCTCTGCCTGGCACGGTCTGAGCGTGAGGAACTCTGGGGGCACAACAGCATGCAAGATACCCAGTGTAGAATAGAGAAATAAGCTGTTTACACCAACAGGCATCATTATTTTATTTCATTTTTGCTTCATTTCAAAAATAATTAAGGGACACTATAACCAGCAGTAGGCACATCAGTGGGGTTTGCAGTTTGAGCCTCTAAAGACCAGATCTCTCATGCCAAGTGCTGTTACAGGCACAGCCAGAGCGAGCCACTGGTCTCAACAACTCTTGGCTTCAGGATGAATATCTCAAAAGCATTCAGGGCCCCAGTCTCACTCACCTGAAGTCAGTATTAAAACTGTAAGAAGATTAAAAGGAATGCAAACAGGATAAAATAGGTGGGCTTCTAAACATTCCCTCCCTCCCTCAGAAGAAGAACATTGGAAAAGATGCATCAAGCAGGAAGAAATTTTTTTTCTCTTTTACTGATGGCGAAACCATGGCAGGAGAAGACTAAGTCACTTGGCCAAAGATTCTAAGGCAGTCTGTGGTAACATGAGAAAACTGTATTTCTGCATTGTCTTAGTCCAGTACCTTAACTGTTCACTGCCCACCTCTGTCCTCACCTGACCCAACACAACCAGAAGTATCGTGGGAAGTGTGGCTGAAATACTGTAGCATAGGAGGGATCAAGCTCTGTAGCCTTTAGGACCTTGTGAGCCATTTGAGTCAGTTCTGGTCACTGTAGTTTATGATTTCTTTAATCTACCAAACCAGAGCCACGTCCAGCTCAGCAAAGCAATCAACATCATGCTAAAGAGTTCAAAGCATTAAGAAACCCACAAGATTGGTTCTTTAGGAACACAGGCAAGTGTCTGATAGTTCAAGTCCTGCTTTGGACTGCAGTCAGGGTCAGATGTCTGCTCTGGGTATCACAAACCACAGGGGCTTGGCACTTCATCCCCCCAGAGGAGGAGGGTCTTCAGTCTTGGGATGTTAATCATTGTCGTAGGGGTTTCTTGAAGAAGATACCCAAGGGTCAACCTGCTGGTGCAGTTCTCGGGTGGTGCTCCGGGCTTCAGCGGTCATCCTCCGAAATTTCTGCAGGTAAACAATGATGAAGATAACCAAGATACCCTGGAGGAAAAGGAGGATGAAGAGACAGAGCTGAGAGAGGAGAGCCAGGCTGCAGTACCAGTACTGGCACGTGGAGTTGACCTCGTCCTCTGTCAGGTAGGCAATGACCCGGTGCTGCAGGTGGCTCGGGGAGCTGCACCTCACATCCCGGTACAGGGTGCGGTTCTGCTGCCACTGCAGCCAGGAGCGCAGGTACAGGATGTCACAGGTGCATTCCCAAGGGTTGCCCTGCAGGTACACTACCTGCAGGCTCTTCAGGTTGTCAAAGAGCCCATTGGGAATAGAGGTGAGCCTGTTGTAACCGAGGTGGATAATTTCGGCTGAAGGACGGAAGGCAACGGGCAGGTTTGCTACAGTGAGGTCTTTTGAGGTGCAGTCAATAATGGTGGTGGTACACTTGCATGGCACAGGGCAGGTGGGTATCACGAGCGGGAGGAAGCCAAGCAGGGACAAGAAGAGAATTCCCCTGTTCATCTTCACCTGCAAACACTTCCCTGGTGAGACTGAATGAGGTGAAGACCAGGCAAGTAGACACCACACACTCCAGGACTGACACCGCAGCCCCAGGTCTTTTGTTGGTTTGTTCTGAGGATGAGTTCCTAAAGTTGGGTGAATTTGGTGTCCTTCACAGGAGGTGTGAGAGCTCTGAAAAGAACAAAGTTAAAAGAGATGTGCAAAATCTTGGTCTCTCTTTACAGGAGAGAGAATGTTCCTGGTCTTCCAACCCTGTATTTGAGGAGGGATATGAACACATAGCTACTGGGAGGCTTAGCTGCAGCCATCAAATACATTTTCACTAGTCCTCCAAAGTGTACAAGAGCTGCTTCTATTTTCAGCATTAGTGGAGGTGAATTACTAGAGTAGCCAATAAAATTTCCATCAAGAAATCAAAAACTAAAATATGAAACAGCTCATGCCTTATCATAGCTCTGAATTACACCTGTAAGCAAAGCTTTGTTCATGCAAACTGTAAGAGGAGATTCAGAAATAAATTTACTGTTACCACAAGCGAAAAATAGCCTTTCCAGCTTTGGAAAGAAGTGATAAACAGTCCTTGGCCACAGAAAGGTACTGATCACTGAGGGTGGAGGTCAGTGGAGTTTTCCATGATAGTTTTGCTCCAGCAGGTGAATAATCTCCTTCTGGAGCTGTGACTGTGCTGCAAGACATGGGTCAATGAGCTGTCTTTACATTACAGCCTCGTGCCACTGTTGAGCACATGAGCTGCTATAATTCTCCAGGAGAACAACTACACATACCTGCAACAAGGCAGTGCTTCCCTGTGCTGTCAGCCAAGGAGAAAAAAAAGAACAGAAGGTAACTGTTGACTTACCGGAGTAGTACAATCTTTGCTTTCTCGCTGGCTTTACAGGACAAGAGGAAGGTCTTCAGGCAGCCCAGCCAGTGCAGAGTGTGCCCTGCAGAGCCGAGCTCCCGGATAATGCCCTCCCAGCTGGCTGGCAAGATAAGGGTCCGGCTCATCCCCGGGACCTCCCACACGAGGCCTCCCCCACGTCTGCTGCGTGTCAGGGAAGCTGATGCTCCTCTGAGCAAGTCTTCCACAGCACAGGAGCTGGCACTGCCCACGAGAACACGTTTGCTGGGATGCTGATGGTACTGATAACTGTGATTCTGGGCCTGGCACAGACACTGCACAGTCTCATGGCACAGCAACTCAAAATGCACCTCAACCTGCAAGGTGGCATTACTGGTTTGTACCACACTCCCTGAGCGCTGTGGCCTTTGGTTTCCCATCTCATCAGGAAAGCTGCACTTGGCAGAGGGGTGAGAACTAGCACTTTTCCAGGTGCTGACCCTCGGGTTTCCCTTAAACAGGGACACGAATCTACTCCTACTTAGTAGTGAAAGATCTGCTGATAGAAATGAGAAAGACTGACCACGTGCTTTATTCAGAAGCTGCATTACACAAATACTCGAACAGGTAAGTCCAAGGGTCAAAATACATTTAGGTAGAATCTTGTGTTCTCATGGCCATCACACCTTCACAGACAATTTTGTGCCACCAGCCTGACCAGGCATTCACTGTGCTCCTCAGGCTAAGGCCACCAGAATTATGTTGTGAAACTGTTGCCCCACCGAGCACAACTCTGTTACCTTGTCCTGTGCACATCACAGAGCAGAAATGATGAATGCCCTGAATGTGGTCATGTTGAGGAGAACTGAGGGTGAAAACAATGGCAGGATTTGGCCCTAGGGAAAATTTTTGATGCTCTAAAGAAAACAATTAAGCTTTAAATTTCTATGAAGTTGGGGCAGATCATTCCACTATGGTGGGCAGGCAGAGTGGGAAAGAGATCTTAGGCTAACAAACCAACCCAGTTTTTCCTGCAGGGCACGCTTTCCACTCGGGAGCAGCTCGACTACTGCAGGTTGGGTTTGCTCAGCAGACCTACCTCGTCTCGTGCCTTTGCTGCTCCGTTTATTCCCAGGCAGGCGTTCAGAGCTGACCCAGAGCCAGGCCCGCTGTGCTCTGCAGGCAGCACAGACCTGGCAACGCTCCTCTGGCTACTTACAAACTGCAGTGCCTGGACTGGATCCTGCCCAGCTGCCCAGTGCTGAGTTAGACACCACTCCTAAGGGAAGCCTGAAGACAGAAGAACTTCAAGATCAGCTTGCTAGCTTCTGGCACAACCAGGCCAGAAATCCCATGCAGGAAGTCCTGCCTGGAGCCTGTTCTGACAGAATTAGATAAAAGGAGAAACAGGGTGAATTTTGCTCTCTCCTGCCAACAATGCATCACCAGTGCTGCTGAAGAGGGCTGAAAATCAAACAGAAAGAGGTTGGTTTTTTGAATGTATTTATTTCACTGATCAATTCAGGTAGTAAACATTAATAATAATAACAATAATCATTTAATAAAATGGATACGTTTTAAAAGGTTTCATTTTTCTTGGTTCACAATGACAAAATGTTCAAACAGAAATTTACAAAAAAATATAATTATAATAACCCAAGAGATGGACAGGAAACAAAGAGCCTAGGAATGGAGCAGGGGGTGAGGAAGGTGTGTGGCAGGAGCAAGCCAGCGTTACAGCACAGCGGAGTCTGTGAGGAGGAGCAGGGAATGCCACAGCAGAGCACGAGGAGGGGGATCCCTCCCTGGAGAGGAGCATGCAGGAGCTGCAGGGACTGCACAGGACCAGCACAGCAGCGGCACACGAGGACGTCACGCCCTGGCTCCATCCCCAGGCAGGCACAGGGCTGAGGGGGACCCAGAGCCCACTGCAGCCTGGGGCACCCTGAGAGTGGGACACCACCCCTGCAGCCCCCACACAGCAGGACAGAGCTGGGCAGAGGCACGGGAACGTGCCTGGGGAGCAGGGATCCCATTGAGGCTGGGGAGGGTTGCGTGAGGGGAGGTGTTAAATTACTTTCCTATCCACACTTCTCGCTGCCAGAGCCAAACAGCCAAGCCACACATGTTCAGGAGTCTCTTCTCTGCTTACTGGGTGACTTGATGCCACAGTACCCCTTTCATAAACAGATGCCACCTTCCAGGCACCTCCCTGGTGCCCCCCAAAATCAGTCTGTAATCCCTTTCCAAGCAGCCCTCAAACTCTGGCCCTCTGCAGGGAGCCTCCTACACGGAGATGTGATGTCAGTGGTACCGCTGCCCCTCTGCAGAAGCCATCTCTGGTGCCTCACTCCTGTGTGCTTTTTCCTAAATGCAACTTGAACCATCTCTGCCAGCTGGTAGCCAAAGACTTCAGCTCTCTGTAGAGGACAGACTTGTGACTATCAACTTGATGTAGGAGCCACGTGCACTGAGCTGATGGAGACTTCCTCACCCAGAGGGACAGGGGCAGATCCACCCTCAGCAACCCTGCCTGCCTGTGACCAGTGTACCTGTGCTCTCACCAGCACACAGCACCTCTGTGCACAGCCCAGCATAAGAGCTGGCAGCTGCTCTATGTCCTTGCTAAAGGGAAAAAGTCTCCTTTATCTTCTAGGAATAAATCTGTTTGAAGGAGGAACATCTCCAGCTGGACAGGGCTCATTTGCAACAGAACATCCTCCTCACTAACAAGACTAGTGCAAGAAAAGAGGGGACAGGTACTTGAAGGTGTTCCCTGTTACACTAGCACAGAAAGCTGAGAACTCAGCAGACCTGCAGCTTTGGCTAGAAGCAAACCAGCTCCAGAAAAGCTGGGAGGAAGGTTTCCAGCCACTCCACTGCTCAAGTAAGCACACTGCACAAAGAACAGTTTGTTTCCTCCTTAGGCACCTTGGTCCTGAATGTTATTGAAGCCAAGCTGAATCCTTCTGCTCTCCTAGGCTGGCACTGCCACTTTTGAGCCCAAAATAGGGGAGAATGAAAAAACCCAACATTGTTAGACACTGCTCTTGCCCAGGTTGCACAGTTCTGCCAAAGGGCTTCCACCCTCACTCTGTCCTTCCACAGGGTGCCAGGGTCTGTCCCCTGCCCCTACAGCCCATGGCTAAGCAGAGGCTCTGTACAGTGAATAACTGGAACCAGCCAACCTACTCACCACCTCGACAAGCCCTGACCAGGACTCTAAAGCCCCATGGAGGAATCAGACAAATGCAGTGCCTAAGAACAGAATTTAGGCCTGGCTATTCCTGGCCAACACTGCGCTTCCTACCCAGGGAGATCTACTGGGGAGATCCAGAGATGGAGGAGCAGATACAAAAGGGGAAAGGGGAGAGAGGAATCAGCCAAGGAGCAGAAGGGTCCAGCCCAAGGGAGCACTCCCTGGAGTCAGAGAGAAGAGCCAAGTGTCTCTCCTCAGCAGCCCTGATTCCTGTGAGCGTGGCAGTGTTGCTGCTGAGCCCTGCCCTGTCAGGCACATCACACTCCAGGGCTCTGCTCTGGCTGGACTAGAGTTAAAAATACTGCAGGAAGCAAGAACAAGACAGGAGCTGCTGCTCAAAGAGTGCTCTTATCTCTGCCCAGCAGATCCACCAGCCTTCCCAGCATTAAGACAGGAAGAGCCTTGGACTAGGGAGGGGGAGAAGGGCTGAGTCCCAGGGGAAGGGCAGGGGAGCAAGTGCCAAGTCTGGTGGGCTGTGCTGAGCCCCAGGCAGTGACAATCCTACTCCTGCCACACTGATGGAACACCTGCCTGGACAGGCAGCCTGCAGATCTCAAGTACAAGCCTACAAAAACTGCCCCTTCCCCCAGGAGAAGCTCAGAGCCAGCAGCGTGCTCTGCAAAGCCTGGGGACAGGACACAGGTCTGCATTTGGGGTTGGGTTTCAGCCCTAGAGTTTCTACTCCAAAGCAGTCCTGGCCAAGCACTCTGGCTGCCACGGTGCTTTTCAGAGCAGACACTGAAGACACACTGCAGCTGGATGACCAGAGCTAAACCAAGAGATACCCTCACCCAGCTACTGCAGGGCCCTGGGGTTCATCTACCAACACCTCCAGCCTGCCAAGGAAGGAAACCATGGCAGTGAAGGTGCTCACTCCCATCAAGTCCTTGCAGGGAATAAACAACTCATCCTCTCTGCCAGAAAGATATAACTGAGAGTCAGAGAAGCGTTTTCTTCTAACCAGCCTTGAGAGACTCAGTCCCTTGCTGCTCAGTGCAAATATCCTGGAGCTTCTTGATAGGAAGAACAAAACCAACCAACTAAACAAAAAACCCATAAAAACCTAGACAGGAAACCA